TTCTCCCTTTGGATAATTTACCCTTGGTCCTCTTCCTATTCATCCTCAGGCTGTTGTCTATAGTCATAGCTGAACATGGTAACTTTCAAATGACTTCTTTTTCTTTTTCTTATTAGATCCACAATTTGGGCTTAGTATAGTTTAGATGCCTTTCCACCCACTGGCCCCTATACTGAGGATGGAACCCAAGGCCTCACGTGTGCTAGGAAAGTGCCCTACCACTGACCTATATCCCTAGTACTTTAGATTTTTAAGGACCCAAGTGAATTCCTTAAATTAATCATTTCCCCTTAGTTTCAAAAGCAAATGTCAAAGTAGACTTTGGTTGTATGTATTAGTCAGAGGCGATCTCTGGTCAGTAGGACTTTGTCAGTAGGACTTCATCAGTACGACTTCTGGAGAAATTAGAATTGAAATTTAAAATGGCACTTCAGTAAGATGCCTGACCTGTTAATGAACCTGAAACAACTGCACAGTTGCTTTCCAAGGCAGTGAGTGACTCTCACAAGTTAAGGATGAGCTGCAAACATTCTGAATTCTGAAATGACATATTGTGGAACTCTCATCTATAGGTTCATATATTCAACAGATTAAAAAGCTGATGGTGATCACCATTTTGATGAAGGTCTTAGATGAATCTATAAAATACATATCGATAAAATTTAGGAATGATACAAATATGAAAGGGCTCATTAATATTTTTTGATGAAAAGGCATGAAATGATGAGATCAGAATTGAATTTTAAATTAAAAAGCAAGCATAAATATAAATAGGTTACATATAAAGGTCAACACTTCCATACGAACAGTAACTTTCCAGTTGTGACCTGAGAAATGGGGAGGCCTGTGTTCATAGCAATTAACATGAAAAACGAGCTGTCACTTTAGGAGACTTTACTGTCAATCCAAGGGTGGTGAGTACTCATTGTACTCTGCATTGATCAGGTAAATAGCTGGAACATTGTGACCAGTCATGAGTGCCACACAGGGGAGTTGGACACTCTGGAGGGATGTCAGTTTTAACCTGGTGGGATGTGTGGTAGTTTTCAGATACACCCTGAGTGGGGAAAATTGCTAATGTAGTTGGTGTCATCTAAGCAGGAGGAGGGAAAGCTTATGGAACCATGATTGGTTCAACAGATCCCTGATGGTCTTTAGGTGTCAAAGGAATTGACTCTCTTAAGTCAGAAGGCAGCATCTAGAACACATTGGTGGAGGATACAAGGAAGTCTATTTTTACTATAAGAAAGAACTTTGTCATCGTGGTAGCTGTTCAGCAGGCTGCTTCTCAACATCGTGAACCTCCTATCACTCAGTATGGAGGGCGGGCTAGCACTCTCACTTGAGATGCTAAGATGCTGTGAAAGGGCCTCTTTGGTAAGGCTTTGTACTCCCCTGAAGATCTTTCACAGATCAAACTCCGTGATAACTTTCATTTTTGAAATTCAAGATTAATGTTATTTCAAGAATTACTTTTATTGATCTTTTGTGAAATGTGATTTGCTCTCTGTGAGATGACTTTATGCCTATTCATGTTTTCACATTTCAGCTATATTTTCCCATAAAAATTTGATAATGTTCACATAACTTAGTATTGGGAGGTTGCAGTAAGTTTGCATTGTGACTGTCCTTGAGCCCCTTTGACATTCATATGCTGTCAAATTGCTTCATTTGTATTCTCAGCAAGATTATGACTGTCTCTCCATTTTCTGAGTGAGGATTTATTTCATTATTCTGAAATTTACAAAATGAGCATACATTCCCAATTCACATTTTTGGCCACTCGTGCATCTTATTAGGAATACAAATTCATTTTCAAATAGTGAAAACAAACAAACCAATCTACAAAAATGGTCTTCAAGAATTAGTGAGTTAGTAAATTCTTCTAATTAGTCCTTCAAAGGCTCTTACCCAAAGAGTATTTCTCTGGATACACATCTCCAACGGTTCCATCTCCCTCATCTTGGACACCCTCTTATGCTCTCATCACATGATTTTCTACCAATACAGAAAGGTATATCAGCTCTCAAAATTGCTGATTTTGCTTTTCTAGTATGTTTCTCTCCATCTGTATCCCCACAATTATATTTTAAAAAGTCCATATATTGATGATGCCTGTATGTCTTCAGCTTGGGAATCAATCTAATTTTTTGGAACAGAACCTGGTTAAGTGCAACAGTCTTCATTATATTTTTTAAAAAAGCCACCTGGAAATCCACAGGCCTCAGTTGGAATATCACCTCAGGGTCATGGAGTGCAGGGTATCGTAGGCTGAGTATATGAGCAGCCCTAAGAAATTCAAGCATTATCGTTTCTGACTGCAGCTTAACTGAACATTCTGAATCCAGAATCTGGAATTTAGGCTGAAAAAAATGTAAAAGGACCTTCTTAATGAAGTCCATTTGCAGGCCTGTTGATTTAGATACTAGCTCCTACAGTGAGTATTAATTGGTAAAATGGATATAACTGCAGGAATGACAGTGACAAACGAAGTAGGTATCTGGCTTTCAGGGCATCAGAAGTCATCAGAGTAAAACTCATTGTTCAGACCGATAGTCAAGCATTGTAGCTGCATTTGCCCTTGTTTGGCTACCTATGCTGGGGGAGTTTACCTTAGCATATGGGCTGCTGTTATGGCAAACAAGGGTGTAATATCTGTCTGTTTTAGATGTCGTTTGTGCCCAATAGCAAACACTTTTCACAAGTTGTCATAATTATTGAATGTAGTATGATTGCATGGATTTAAAAAGAGAAATACTTAAGCTTATATTTAATAAGAAAATGTTAGTCAATCAAAATGTATTCTCTCTCTCTCTCTCACACACACACACACACACACACACACACACGTATACTACTGATTTTAGACAGCTGCTGTTATCTTAGATGAGCCAGCCTGAGTACTATTAGCTGTTTCTAGTATTTCACCATCTTCTGGGGCATCTTTTGCCTTCCTACTACCTGAATCAGTTCATTTTTTTTTTAATTTTTAAAAATATTTTTAGTTGTAGGTGGACACAATACATTTATTTATTTATTTATTTATTTATTTATTTATTCATTTATTCATTTATTTATTTATTTATTTCTGTAGTGCCCAGGGTCCAACCCACTGCCTCCCACATGCTAGGCAAGCACTCTACACTGAGCCAAAACCCCAGCCCCTAATAGTCCCTCTTCTGTTACTATAATAAAATTCCTGATGCTCGGTACTTTATTTACAAAGAGGTTTGTGTATACTACCAGTTTGGAGGTCCAAGAGATAGCTTCAGCATCTGCTTGGCTCTGGGGAGGGCATTTTGGCTACATCAGAACATGGTGGATGAACCATGGTAGGAGTGCGTGCCGGAGTGAGAAATCACATGGTGAAACAGGAGGCCAGAGCAATTTAGGGGTCCAGTTTGCTCTCCTGGAAACTAGTCAATGTCCCTTGAGAACTACATTATTCCCTTCTGAGGGTCGTGATTTCCAATGACTAATGACCTTCTACTGGGTCCCGCATCTTAGAGAATTTACCATCTCAACTCTGCCACTTGGAGGACTAAGCTCCTAGCACATGACATTTGTGTAAACACTCAAATCATATCCAATCCATAGCTCTTCTAAAGGGAAGGACATAATTATTAATTAACTTTTAAAGAAATGAAAAATAGATGTCTAGCTTGACGTTATTCAATAAAATTGTCTGCGACTATGCCAACATTTTGTACTTAAAGTATCTGATATAGTAGTTAACAGCCACATGTGGCTATCATGTACTTCAAATGTGGCTCATGTGATTAAGGAAGTAAATTTTAAAATTTATTTAATTTCAACATAATTTAAATAGTCATATGTGACTAGTGGCTATCATACTGAATAATACAGCAATCCTCGAAGAATTCACAGCATCAGAAAATGTACTGAGGAAATGCATTAATCATCACTGCAATTCACCGTTTTGAAATTTCTACATTGAATTCAGTGATACTCAAATGTTATATCAGTTTTGCTAGATGTTAAAATCATTATTAATAAATAAAAATAACCAAATTAACTGAAGTATTTACAGTTAGTAAAAGACCATTCTATATTGTATACTGATTTGAAGATCTGCATAACAAATCTATCATCTATGATTTTCATAAGCATTTAAAATTAGATTTTTTTCCCCATATCTTGCAAGAGAGGAAAATGGTATGCCAATTTAATAAGAAAGCCAAAGTTTTAAGCCAGTAAGTGGTAGAGCCAATGACTGGAGTCCAGGGAAGATTCAGCACTAATGCTTTTCACAGTGAATATTCCTCAACTGGTCTGGTAGAGCATGGTGCTCAGCAGAGTCAGAAACATGAACTATGGCACCAGCTGCCTGATTTGAATCCTGCATCTACCACGTAAGCCTTAATTTTCTCATTTTAATATAGAAATAAGAAAGGCATCCACCTCACTGGTTTGTTATGAGGGTAAAGTAAGTTAACAACATCTGGCATATTGTTTAAACCATCAGAATTGCCTATCATTATTTTTAATTTGAAAGAGACTGTCCTTTGTAAAGATGCTGATTTGATATGATATTAATAGATGGAAAACTTTGGGTGTATTTTCCTAAGAAATAAGAGAGACTAATAATTTAGATAATTCAAGAAGAAGCACCCTGCTGTTTAGTCACTTTGGTGTCTTCATCACCGAGATTGCAAGTTTCAGAGCACTCATGGTCTGACCGATTCCTCACATCTTTGCTTTTCATGTTACCCTTAGAGATGTCTCCTTTGGTGTCTTTGATTGGTTCTGAATGCTGAGCAGTGACAAGCACCAACACAGCTGGAAAGAGCTGTAAGGTTTGCAGTTCTGTCTTCCAGCAGGGAATTATTGCCATGGATACCAGCATCAGAGAAAGACTGGGGAGCACTATCCACTTGCCTCCTGAGTGTCTGACATCTGTTTCTGGCAAGGCCAATAAGGAATGTGCTAGTAGTTTATATCAAATGGGAGACTGATGCACACCTGTTTTCCCTCCACAGATGGCCTCCGCCCAAGATGCCAGATATGGTCAGAAAGACTCCTCTGACCAGAACTTTGACTACATGTTCAAATTGCTGATCATTGGCAATAGCAGTGTGGGGAAGACATCTTTTCTGTTCCGTTATGCGGATGACTCCTTTACATCTGCATTCGTCAGCACAGTTGGGATCGATTTCAAAGTAAAAACTGTATTCAAAAATGAAAAGAGAATCAAGCTCCAGATTTGGGTAAGTGACTTTGAACTGACAGTGTTCTTCAGTCTGGGGTGGTGGACATATAAGTGTGTCAGGGAAAAACTTTCTGCCTTTTTCTGTCTTCATGGGATCTGCGAGCTTTGATTTCTAGTTCCTTTGCGGTATAACATTCTGTTTCAAAAACAGTAGGGTGACACCTTTTGAAGTCATGGAGAACAAATTATGCTTTGTTGTCAAGTAATGCTCCTTAACAGTTTTAAGAAGGAGAAAAAAGCTAAACTTATGTTGTCTTGTGGCAGAAGGAATACTCAGTGAGAAGTCCAGCTCCGCCTTTTATGAGCTGTGTGACCTCAAACAAGTCCGTGAGTTTTTCCTGTGACATTTCTACAGTCTATAAAATGGGCAATGCAGGTCTGACCTTTTAGGACCTAGGAAGTAGCCTGCCCTGGACATTGTAAAACAGAAGGTTAACAATCAAATTACAAGAAAAGCTGGGATCTGATCCTTCATAAAGTTCCTGCTCTGACTTTGTACATGGTCTATTTGTAGTTCACAAACTTTGTGTCTTCAACTCTAAAAAACTATGTTTTTACCCTCAAATGAAACAAAATAGTTATTTGAAACAGGTCATCTCTAGGTAGAAAATAGCCCACAAATTTTGAGAGCATTTGGCTAGATTTCTGCCTCCTTTCACTGCCTGAAGAAGATCAGATGTTTCTTAATTAAATGGTTGAACTAAATTTAGGAGACTCATGAGCAAAAAAAAAAAAAAAAAAAAAAACCAGAAGAAAAATATATTTGGGTAATAAGTCCAAGGTAATATAAGAGATGAAGTAAAACCAGATCGGTGACAACACGAAAGGTTTAAGTAGTAAATATTTTATGGACTCCAAAGCAAGTACTTAGACAAAATGTTTTTGCAGTCAATTTTGGACCCCTTTTCCTGTTCACATGCCCCTCCACCACTCAGATGATTCCAGCTATAAATAGGCATTTCCTAAGAGGTGTTTACTCCCTCCTTCCAAGATACATCTGACAGCTACTACCATTTGGTGCTGGTTCCATGATGTAGGACTGATGGTAAGTCTTCTTTCTTCAATATGGAAAGCTTAAAGAGAGACAAATCCCAGAGCATGATACTTAAGCTTTTTTTTTAAAAATAAAACAGCCATTTATAAAAATATTTATATAAACAGAATGACCTTCAAATTTAATCACTAACTCTTTGTTAGTGTTTCACTTATTCTGACTCTGGAGCCTTGCAAGTCTAAGTGGAACTCATTAGAACTTGGACAATTGGGTCTCAGAGAGAGCACCTTCAAAGCTCCACCATCTCCTAATGTTTGAGAGGGTTTGTGCTTAGGAGCTTGACTTCAGTCAACATAGACACCAACCATACACCCCTGTGGATGGAGATGTAAAGAACCAAAGCAAATATTTTCACATTTGGGACCTGTTTTTGTTTTTTTCCCTTTTGAGCTTTAGGCAACCAAACATCATATGATAAATTTCATGATCAGATTTAAGAAAGGCCCGTTTACTCTCAGTATCTTTGGTGTATTTGGCAGCCACACATCTCTTAAATCCATTACAGTGTTCTTTCTACTAATATGAAAGAACAGTCATTTCTCTGGCTGAAAGCTTCTGTTTTTCTCCTCTCTTGTTTGTCTTAGAGATATTTTAAAATGTTGTAATCATTTAGACAAAACAACAACATGATGTATTCAACCAGTCTTATAATTGTTAGTAATTTTTTAATCTAGATTTTTTTAAAGGTATGGGACTTTTTGTTTATTTAATTTTTCTATGTGGTGCTGTTGATTGAGCATAGTGCCTCACACATGCTAAGCAAGTACTGTACCACTGAGCCACAACCCCAGTCCTCAATCTAGATTTTTGACAGAAATCTTTGTTGTGATGCAAAATTATCTATCCTTAATGTAAAGAAGATTATTTATCATAATTATGAAAATACTTTTTTTTAAAAACATAGTGCTGAGCCAGACCAGGGCTAGTTTCATTCACTGTTTTGACACTGAGATTCAGGGATTTCTGTCAAGGCCTTCCTTCTCTGAGCTAACCACAGCCCGATTGGGACCCTCTAATTTCTTTTATTCTGTTACTTTCTCATGCTTCCCAGTTTCTGTAACTTCACACAATGCCTCTGAGGTAGCATTCTCTTCTCATTTGTCTCTAATCCTCTATTTAACATTTTTTCTAAAACCTCAGTGTTTCTTCATAACTTAGGATCTCATTCCAGGACTCCTTCCGTTTTTCTGGGGATCCCCCCGTCCGCCACACACACACCCTACTCAGGGTCAGTCACACACAAAGCTCTTAATGCACATGAATCTAGGGGAGTAAAAATTACTTTTATACTACTATCATTTGCTCTACTAGATTGTGAAATATTTAAAAGAAGTACTATACAAAGATTTTGGGATTATTGACTCTGTAGCATAGTTAGAAGGAAAGATTAATGTTTATATAATAATTATATATTTCTACAAACAGATGCCAAATTGCAGCAACAGTGTATACATCTATCAATTATTGAATAAACATTCTCCATGCCTTATCTCTTAATTCTCACAACAACCCAACTTTGTATTTATTATAATTTCTATTTTGCCTAAGAAATCTGAAGGTGGGACAAATTAAATAACTTGTTTAGGGTCATATCCTGTGAATGGTAAGAAGAGATTCTGGGATAGATCCATCATCATATGCCAGTTTTGGGTGTGTGCCCTTCACCACTGTGCTGATATGATTAAGAAGCCTCGAATACAGTAGTGTTTTATGAAGAGCACTTGGTCAGTGTATCCTGGGATACTGAAAATATTTTTTGAAAGAGTCTGACTCTCTCAATGAATTGCAGCATTCAAGAGGAAATATAATAAGAAATTAACACAGTGGTATGCTTGCTTTTGATATAATGCATTTGTGCTGTAAAATATTTAGTTGAGTATAGTTATTAGTGCTTAACAAGTTTGACAAATCATTTCCTTGGGAACATGTTTAACACTGATGATTTGTTATCTCATTGTTTTATGAACCAATTAACTTCCCTTCCAAGCCTATAGTACTTTTATGCACTTACATTTTATTGTGTAACTAAGCTGTTAAGATGGTCACATCATTTTAGCCTATTCTATATTTCTTTATATATAAACTGTTTTGCTTCAATCAAGCAAAACAGTTTCATGGTATGAAAACCATCATGGATTAGTTCACTGTCTGATTACCTTTACCAAGATAGGTTGTAGATATTGATGTGATTTTGATAACTCTATTAATCTTTAATTAACTATAAATAGAAACAAGCTGGGCTGAGGTCATGGCTCAGTGGTAGAGCACTTACCTAGCACATGTGAGGTGCTGGGTTCGATCCTCAGCATCACATAAAAAATAAAATAAAGGTATTGTGTCCATTTATAACTAAAAAAAAAAAAATAGAACCATGCTAGGAAACCAAGCTCTAGAGAGGTGAAGTGATTTGATTTTATAGTTAGTGCCAGAGCAAAATTTAAAATCTAGGCTTTTTGCTAAGTGGGCCAGTCTCATTTCTTCTACACCAAGATGACTCTCAAGGTAAATGCTATTCCTGGGAATTGATAAATCTCATATCCAGTTGCCAGTGGAATCTACTGGGCATAGAAAAATTAAACTTGAGGCCAGATTTCATATAGTATTTTAATATGTCAGAAAGGGAGAGCCTTTGGGAATACTCCCCTGGTATTTCCACCTTGATGGTTTGGTTTTTCTTCATGTGCTGCATAGAGATTTTCTGATTCTACAAACGGAACTACTGGAGTTTTCACTAGTCTGCCCTCCAACTAAAGCATTTTAACTGCTAGAAACATTTACATCTCTTCCTGGACATGTTATACCTCCTCTCTATGGTAGTTCATTACTACCTTGGAATAAACTTGTTTAGAGAAAGGTCATCCTTCATGTGTACTTAGTTATTAACCTTGTATCCCTGCATGTTTATGGATCCCTCTGTCCTTTGCCATATTAACATTTCTTATCACATTTCTAACTTGTTATCATTTTTATGATTCACAGATCAAACATTTTTAAAATTTTAGATTCCAGTGTTTGGGCTAGTTCTTCATTGTGTGTATTTTTATGTGTGTGTGCATGTGCACTTCTTGCTGCTAGGAATGTGTTAGAAATTTATGATGACTTTTCACTTTAATCATATAAAATATATAGCTTGTATCTATAATATTTTGCTTGTAATTTTAGAAACAATTTAATAAAAGCTATGTGGAGTCGATTTCTTCCCAGAGAAAAGATTGACAAACAGTATAGTAGTCATTGCTGTATTTATTTTCAGTGTCTAGATCAGTAGCACAAGAACATTGAGGCTTAGAGAAATGCTGGCAAACTATGGCAATTATTGAAATTTGACTTTCTAGATGGCCAGATGTGACATTGTGGGTCTCTTGACTGAAATGACAATTTCCTTTGCTTAAAGAAAGGATGGATTTTTTTTTCTTTTTTTTCTGTTTCATCGGGTTTATGCTCTTCAAATTCAAAACTCAGGGTTAACTCTAAGTAATGGAAAGTTCAGCCTGCAAAATATATAGTTCAATTATAGAAACTAGGTTTAAAATAGGCAGGGGCAGGTCAGCAAAGGGAATTATTATTTTCTTAAAAATCAGAATAAGTTTTTATTGCTTTTGCTTTTTCCCATTCTTACTCTTTGCCGCTTCTTGTCTTTTGTCTTCTTCTTTCCCTCTTTCCCCTTCTTCCCCTCATTTGTGAGCTCTGACCAGGATGAGTTATTGGGAAACTCACCCTCAGGATGTTCAGAGGTCAGAGCCATCTGATAGAGATGTTCACATTGTGCACTGGACAAGAGCATCAACCAAAAGGTGATTTAGATTCATGTAGCAACTACATACGAAAGCAATGACTGTGTTAGAATCCAGTGAAAAGATAGTATAAATTCACCCAGCAGAGAATAATAGCTTTGCTTCCCAAGTGGAGGCCTAGAGAAAGAGGGTATTTAAAAAATATGTTTT